AGATTGTAACATTATGCACACACGCATAATTGCATAAACGATAAACACACTCGCACACATATTCGGTGTTCTTTTTCGACTTACGACGAGATGCGTCACGTGAACATGAGCAGACCGTGCGAAATTTAGTCACAGTGTATAGAAACATACAGTAACGTCAGTGTGCACGAAAATATCGGTGAAACGGAAATCGCTTGTCGTCCGACGGCGACTATATGGCATAAAAAATACGGGCCAAGACAAATTTTTGCAGCGTTTCAGTCGGAATGCGCGCCCGGACGACCACCTAAAGACGCGCGCGCGGTTGACACATCCGTTGCCGTCGAATAGCTAGCCGGATGCCTTCGCTGTCGTTGCTTTGGTGCCCAGTTCCTGCGGCATGCAGTGTGTGTAGCTGGACCGGCGCGCGGTGGCGGCAATGACAATGACCGGCACCGTCGAGTCGCAGTGGTTCTCATGGTGTGCGCAAGAGAGAAAAAAATAAATTGTACACACACACACACACACTACGACTAAGTATAAGATACGATGTGGAATACGGTGGCCATAAACGCCCGTAGTAGTGTTAAAAAAAAATCTTAAACCGGAAATTATATTTACTGAACCCGAACAAGAATTATATCGTCGTCGTCGTCGATGACGAGGCTTCTACATCAACTACTACTACTATTACTTACTAGTTATGTGCCTATGACGGACGGGACGAACACCTTCCGTGCGAATGAAATATGACGATGAACAGAAGCGCACCGAAACACAAAAGCGAGTGTTCAGGGAGGAAATTGCAAATCGGTTTTGGATGACGGGCTTTTTACGTTTTTTTTTTTATTGTTATTATTATTTCTGTCGTCGTTTTGTTTATTTTTTTTTTTTTTAATTTAATCTTTTTGTTTGTTGTGCGTTTTTTAACAAAACGATCGTTCCTAAAAACCTGTCTCACTATTAATACCTTCCGTGCAAGAAACCTTACACACCGGAAATCCTCGGGCGGCAAATAATAATTTGTGATTACTCTATATAATAATATTATGTATGAAAAAATTAAACGAGAATAAATAAATAAAAAATATTAATTATGAATAAATATGTCGTACTGAGCTATTTTAATTTTTTGTTCAAACCGTCTGTCTATGACAATCTATTGAGATGGTGATAAATCTAAGTACGCAATAGTAATAGATTTTTGGAAATATGCGCTATCCCTTTCAAAACTTTTAGACAGACAAATATGTTATTGAAAACACAATATTTGTTTAATTCATTGTGTGTTTTGTTTGAAATGTAGTATATCTGAAAATAACATTATATTAATTATACCTTTCGGCTAATACCTATTTCTGAAGAATATTTTTATAATTTTATTAACGTTTATACATAAATATTTAAGAGAACAACTACTATGAATATTCGTTTTGAAAAATTCTTATTTCTGTATAAATAATAGATGTGACTATTTTGACATTCTTCACAGGATAACTATATAAGACTTGAATTACATATATTTTTGTGGTTTACATATCATAATGTACATTTTCTTACATATTAATATTGTTAATGAAAATTGCAATATTATGAGATAGACAATCATTAATGCATGTAATATAGACTATTTATGGCAAATATTTGTGTCTACAATCTGTGAAATATATATGTTGTTTTATGACATATATTCATTATTATATCAATAACGTTGTTTATAGGAGAAATGCTTTACAAAAAAAAACGTGATAAAACTTTTTGTGTCAAAAACACAAAGTTCAATTATTAAGAAATATAGTGCGAGTTTAAATTATTAACCTATTATTATACCTATCGATAAACGTAGGTTAACCACAGATTATAATAAGGCATTTATGTAAAGATTTTTTTAACCCGACCCAATTCTATCTCATCGTCGCTCAAAATCACTCAATTATAAGAAAATATTTCGTCTAATTACTGAATTTGAAGTTTAAGACACAATCAACATATAATTCAATATAATTCTAATGCTACATATATAAACGATTTAAGACGTTTTACCCAGAATTTTGATAACGAAATTAAATAAATTCAATTTCCATAGGAAATAACTTATATGTGTGCAACTTAAGTAAGCAAATTTGAAATAATACACATTCATGTATTGTTATTTATAACTTATATTATTATTTCATAACTAGCACGAACAGTCGAATAACGCACGTTTTTCAGTTCCTACAAAATAACCGTTATCGATTTAATATAATTTCTACAATCCAATACTAATCTGATAATAATAACAATTCAAAAAAAAAAAAAAAAACATTTCTATCGAGTGCAATGAAAGCCGAACACGTGTAAAAAATAAATAAATATGTACAGATAAAACACATTTACTGTAAAATAATATTATCTGTAATATCCACTCTCATCACGCGCACCAATTCGCAGATACAACGTGTGCGCTCATTTAACAGCAAAAAGAAAATCAAGTCAGTATTTATAGCTTTAGAAAGTATAATGAAGTAGCGATGTCTAATTAATTCGTAATATAATATGTACATGTTACTATCATAGAAATAAAAACATAATTTTTTTTATACAAAACATGCCTAATTACAATAAAGTACGATACGTCGCAGTTGTCGCCGACTAAGGATGTGGCGGTGGATGGTTAAGAAAACAAAGTAAACTGAATCATAAAAATGTAATTATTTTCTCCTATTATTATACGGTGCATTGTTCCGTAAACTTTACACGTCGGATAATTGTGTACATGCTACAACAGGAACCAGAGGGAAAACAATGGAAACGCGCAATACTTGTGAAAAGAAAACTAGAGTCTGCTAATTTCTGCAGCGCGCGCGTCCGCTACGTTTTTATTTAAAACAAAAAACTACTATACACGGTCTACGGTTTGTAACTAATACATAAATAGGTATTTAATGACGATGTGGAATGACAAAAAACAACGATGATTATTATTATTATATGTCATGAAAACATTTTTTTTTTTCAAAACGGAAACAGTAATATGTACTTAAACACGTGTGATTACTCCCTTCAATCCCCAGCATTTCTATTCTGTATCGATACTATTGTATATTATATAGTATAACAATAACTTATTGCACAACAACTCGTTTTGAAGGGATGCTCAATCGTGTTGTAATAATACGATCCGAACCGGAGCGCAAATTCCTTACTTGACGAACCTCAAGAGAAAACAACAGTAGGATTGATGGTTAGGAGGGAAAATCAACAACGTGATGACACACGTAAATGCCGGATTAAACGAGACGGACGCGGTATTTCGAAGACCTTCGTTTACGTAGTAAAATAATGACGATGTATAACCCCAGAAGACTTTCAGTTTTGTAACGACCGAAAATTATTCCCCAGGGATATATATATCAAACCTTAGTATCTACGTAATGGTATATGACCGCACACCGTTTTGAAATCCATAGTATTTATGTTTATTATTTTTTGATATTCCTGTGGAAAGCAACACATTTGTATGTTTTAACACAGCACCTATGTCATTTTACAGTACAATACACTGGTAACTATTGTTATTATATAATCGATTCATCCTTGAAACACCAAATCATTGTTTAATTAGTATCGTAAATTGTACAAAATATAATATGTACGTACTCACTAATAAAATAATAATAATTAATATAATATAGTTTTAATTTCCAAATGAAAAGCGCTTAAGTATACCATATATACGTGTACATAAATCGCAAACATTAATAATTTTTATACATTTCAAGTACGTGCAAACGATACGAATCAAATTATATAAGTAAATTGATTTCTCGCAGATATTTAAAATCGTAAATTTACTGTTTTAATAATTTTATCGTGCAGGGTTTCGTTTATGTTTATGAACGACTTAATCATAATAACATTAAACAAGTAACGAGTTCTACGGTAAGTAGGTATATTATTAAATACAAGATGTACTTCGAGACAAATACAGATCAATTAAATAAATGCGAAGTATTATCACAGCTTGTATTGGCGCGAGTACACAACAATAGTACGATACCGATAACGAATATTTACAGTAACCATTTATAGCGTTGCACAATGCACTTCATATGTTATTATATAGGTAGGTATACTAACATTGTTCTACTTAAAATAATTTACAATATCTCGAATAAGTTTTTGGTCAATTAATATGGACTACATTTCGCGGTTTAACGCGTTGAAATCATCTTAATGCGGTTTTACGGACTACTAGAAGCAGATGAAATCTAGTAGGTATATAATTAAATAAAATAAAAATAATTTGACGTGATTCACAACGACCCCGTGTTGTACGCGACTACTGGTGTCGAGTGGTGTGACAAGTTACAAGTAAACACAAAATATGTCGAAAATTCTTCAACGAAAATACTAAGTAGCAGCTACTATTATTAAAACTAGTCTACAACTATATTACTGTCAAGGTTTCTCAATATGCGCGGCGTCATAATAAATATATATATATGTATATATGATAATCCGATGGGGTTATTCTCACGTCGTTTACACTACTCCTCTCTCCCACCTACCGAATACACACCGGCGCCTAGCAGTCGATGATTTAATAATAATTATTGTGTAACTAACACACGTGTAATGAGCATACTTTGTGTTCTACTCCTACAATTAATAATTCTAACACCTAACTCGACGTCTTCCGTAAAATGCGCTGTTTTGTCATTTCAAAAACCAAATTCAAAGACGAAGATGTCACGAATAACGATGGCGGTAATAAGAATGATAATCGCATCACCGGGGAGGTTAGTTCCGATAACGAGTGGAGACTACAACGACGAAATTAGGTACTCTGTGTACGGGGGGGTAGCACACAGCCATCGCAGCCGTTATTATTATCGCGTTATCAACGAGTGGTTAGCGTATGTGTGTGTGATAAGCACTAGTGCGGTGCAACAAGTAAAGTAACAACCCACATCAATAACATTGTAACTATAACGTCATGCCATAAGCATTTTTAACGTGTGCGAAGTCCTACTCACTTCAAATCGACCACCGTCTTAGTGTAGTAGTAGTCGGAATAATGGTCGGTAGACGACGTGCTGACGTCCATTTGTCGACGAGGCACGAGGTAGAGCAGCGTTCGACCCGCCGAACGCTAACAATATTATCGTCGTTCGTGCGATTGCTAACGCGACAACACTCGTTCGACTCGATTCGACGTGCGGCCGCACTACACGATTATTAATCTACGAGACGCGACGATGACGATGCGCACACTGATCGATTTGCACGTAATAAAACAATAATATTAAATATTGCAAGGAGAAAAACAGTAATTTGGAAAAATAAAAATAATAAACCAACTCGGAAATCGAACAACGGACGTCGGTAACGGACTCACCAAACAACCAGCGCACTTGACACCGACGGACGGACTGCCGACTGACACGAAGAATAATAACAACGACACAACCGGATTCGGTGCGCTAGAGGGACGCGAATCGGAATTCGTGGTGAACAGGCGCGGCGGTGGTGCTGGTGGTGGTGGTGGTAGTGGCGGCGACGACCGACGTCTCTCCGGTGGTGGCGGGGCCGGTGCTCTCGCATCCTGCTGGTGCCGCCGCCGCCGCGCGGCCCGGCGTACGAGTGCGCGATAATTAGTGGTTACCAAACT